AAATGTGCAAAATATAAATTGCTGATTCAGCACAAAGTGTGACGTCATTAGCTGGTAAGAATGTTTATTGAATACTACACTGAAGCATAATGGCTCAGTTATTATGGGATCAAATCAAATGACATTCTGCATGCAGATAGTACATGATGAGACCCATGGAAAAACACTTCTAATTTTGTTGCCAAGGTAACAATGTCGTTCCCAGGTCCCTTGTGCCAATTTTATAAAACAGCTTTATTTATGGTACTGATAAAAATAAAATAATATCAGAAGTATGTGTACCATATCTATGCATGCCAAAAGTTTACTTGTTTAATAATAATTCGAAAATGACATACACATAGATAAATGCAACTAGTTATTCAAAATCAGTGTAAGGGGCCTGGGGATGACTGTGTTGCCTTGACAACAAAATTAGAAGTATTTTTCCATGGGTCTCATGCATGCAAAATTTCATTTGATTTGAGCGCATAATAACTGAGCTATGCTTCAGTGTAGTATTCAATAAAATTCTTACCAGCTAATGACGTCACACTTTGTGCTGAATCAGCAATTTATATTTTGCACATTTTTGCATATAACTTCGGAACTAGATGAGATAGAATAGAGCATTAAATGGCCAAGAGGCTTATTTTTCCATGCACTTTCAGATGAAGCAATAAAATGAATAAAATTGCCCATACCCTTTAAACAAGGTCACAGAATAAGGAAGCACAACATGCTATTATTTTTTTCCCGCCAAGTTATAGTTTGTTGTTACTTCATCTTGCAAGGAGATAGTGCATCAACGATAATAACAATATAAAAACGCTAAATATGGCGCACTATCCGTAACTCAAAATATGCCTGAATCTAACATGGCTGAAACTATTCTCTTGATCTAATATAAAGTAGTGACCTGTCTAACCTATTACACAAGACTACTTCGCAACTAGGCCCACTTCCATAAATTAAAATCTATTATTTATGAAAATCATTATTTCTGCAAAGTATTTATTTTAATCCCTATTTTGAATTTATTTTATATTCTGAGAGGTCCAGAAGGGGGTCCAGAAGGGGGTCCAGATGAGGGGGTCCAGCTTTTGTACCCTCCAATTTGATCTTATCTCTGTATATGCATGTTGCAACCAAGCTCCTCAGCATATCAAGAAAATATTTTTCTGTATCCTTTTTGAATGGATATGGAGTATAGTCCACTGGAACCAAATTATTCCTGACTTGCTTCACTGCATCTTCCAATGTAATGTTTGCAGATACTTGCAAGTTGTGGATTATGTTGATAAAACTGTGTGGGATTGCTGCATTTGGTTTTTTCACCACAGTATCACCACATTCACCTTCTGTAAAGAACAAAAAAATATGCTAAATGACATCCCGTTTAATGTAGCAATGGTACAACACCAATATTCGTCCTTTGATAGTAATCTTCAATACATATAACTGCAATGCAGTTATGTACTAATTGTACCAACATGGCTAATGATACAAAATATCATAAAATTGAGTTATTTTTCAGTTTACCTCCTGATCTGATTATTAGAACTAGTTGGACACCTAAGTATGGTAATTACAAAAATTACCCTGCCACTAAGGTCATCTAGTCCATGTTTACATATATTTCCTTCTTTTATAAATTGCCTTACCTCCACACTTTATCAGCATTGCTAAGAGGGTTTTCTTTGACATTTTCTGTGCTGCCTCTTTGCTGTCATGGATTAACTGCCAAATGTGTAGAGGTCTTGTTTCCCCTTGGCTCCATAATGAACACAATTTACCATCTGTTACAGTGCCTAGAGCATACAAAATGGAAAACAAATAAACATCTGATGTGATCTTTGCTATTTTACTGCCCAGTGCAAAACAATTTTACTGATCAAGGGGAAAGTGTTGCAATGGACCATTTGCATTATAGACTAAATTTTGGTCTAGACAAAAAGTTCATCACAGCTTGAAAGAGCATCACAAAATTAGAAATATTCTAAAGTTTTGTTGCGAAATGTTGTAAAATGTGTACAATATAGCCTTGCGAAATTTGCAATTTTCAGTCATTTTGTATTACAAACTGGAAATTGATGCCCCAACACCTGATTGGGCTGTCAATTCCCGTGCGTAATACAAAATGATTGAAAATTGAAAACTTCACAAGGCTATATTATCCGCATTTTACAACATTTCGCAACGAAACTTTGGAATATTACTAATTTTGTGATGCTCTTTCAAGCTGTGATGAATGATGATGACTAATTTTTGTCTAGATCAAAATGTAGTCTATAATGCAAATGTGGTCCATTGATGGGTTAACAAGACTTCAGTGACTGCCCATTATTCTCTTAACCCATTCTCGTCTTAACCCAAGTCTCAATCAGGCCTTTTTCGCATCATGCTTTGCTATTCAACACTTGACAATATAATTGTCAAAGGGGAAGTGTTTAATGTACACTGTAAATAGGTTAATTAAACGCCAGTGCTCTCCCCTTGACGAGTAAAATTGTCTGGCGTTAGACAGAGTAAAATTGTCTGGCATTAGACAGAGTAAAATTGTCTGGCATTAGACAGAGTAAAATAATAAAGTGGGTGCATCAAGGCCCAATGGGTTCATTAATAATCAAATAATTGAATTATAAACTCTTGTCCAGCTAACAGTCATGCAAATACAACATGAACAATTTAATGTTTAAAATTTACAGTACTATTTATTATACAGTAGGAACAACTTTTAATCCTCTTTCTATCGTCTTTCTGTTAATATCTCTATTAAAATCTCTGAGCTGTTGGTCCTTTTAGATTTCATATGCAATAAATCTTACTGGCAGAGCATATGGCTTTTTTGCTTGCCTCTCATCAGATAGCATAGTGACTAGACATGTGAAGCTGCAGTCCGTCGTTTCTGATATATGTAGATAGATCCCTTTCATGCCATTATAATATTTCAAATTTAGCACAACCAGAACTAAACTAGACTCAGTGAGTCTGTTATGTTGGTTGTATTTAAAACAGCTTCAGACTACTTTGAAGAGAGTTTTGAGCTATTCCCTTATGCAGTTCTGCTGCTCGGTCTCTGTCCAATTGCACTCAGGTGAGGTCAACAACCATCGAATGGTTTCCACCATGTAGGATGGGTAGTTTTCTGGTGATTCATGGATGCCCTTCAGCCAGTATTCTTGCAGTGACCTGTACAATGTAAATATTTTGTGAGCAGGCTTGCTCCCTTTAATTTCTCGTCTGGAAACGACAACTAACTGATTTCTCTCCACTTTGTACGCAGTGTCGCACTCTTCCAATATCTCGTCTTCAATTTCTTTCCACTGGTGCTTGTTGAACTGTGGGTGTGTGGCTTTGTTTGACAGTTGAACAACTTTACTGAGCACCTCTTTCACTCAGGTTGTTTCCGATTTTGCCCTCCGCATCATATCACTTTCCTGTGCTGGCCATAAGGGTGTAATCCCTCAAACTTTGGCTGGTCTTAGACAGAGAGGTCATATAGAGGGCAGAGGTTTGTCCCTTCGGCAATGGTGTCGCAGGAAGAGGCCAAATCCTGCTCTAGGCATTGTACTTGGGCCTTATAGCAAAGGCTTTCAAAGTATAGAGAGGATTTGACCATGTGTAAGTGGTACATAACGCTACGCATTCTTTGTCCACGCTTGCTTGGCCCTCTTTCCACATGCTCTCTGGGTGTTCTGGTGCGTTCGTTATTTGCGCAAAGGCTTTGTTACTCGACTGGGCAAGAGCCCAAATCAATCCAGTGCTTACGGAGGTCTCATGGACGAAAAGGGTGGAGGAAAACTTCCTCAGGCAAATTGAACATACCCGCTTTGCATTGTGTCACCCTTCTGCATGGTTGCATTGATTGCTTCTTTGATTCCCTTAACATAAAGTGACATGGTATGTCCAGCCGACACCAGTTTTACCACAAGATTTTCCATGACACCTTGGTTGTTGACAAGCCATATGTTTGCAAGGGGCACGTTAATAATGATCGTAAAGCAAGAATGGCATTCTGTCGATGCCCCTGTCACATTCCAGATAGCTCTACGAAGAAGGAAGGAAAAAAACAATTTATTTAGAACACTTCAAAGAACGAAATTTGCATGGATTATTACTAGATGAGGAGTATATAGTATCACAATTGATATTTACTAAAGTTAACACAAACTGGCTGAAGAAATTGTACCTTTGTCGAGTTTGCTATCAGCTTATTGAACGAATAGACTAGCTGGTTCATTGTTTTCCTCTCTAAATTTGTTCTTGGTTCTCATTCTGCGTATATGTGTAGCTTCTTTCAGTCTTATATATGTCAATCGACGACAGGAAGAAGCCACATATATACGCAGAATGACCATTCGCTAATGCCTGGTTCACACTGGTCGCAAGAATCGTGGATTGCCATTGTCTGTGGTCATTGGTGTGTAAAACGCTTTGTTTGTTGGAAAAGAATACAATAGATCGCCGATGAATTAAGACCAGTGTGAACCAGGCTTAAATCTTGTTTTTCGTTGACGCTTTGAGTTGAGCTCCGAAAGTTCTAGCCAAATTCTAGCATTCCTTTGTATAAACAGAGTAGATATGATGCCAAAGAATGTATTCACCATTAAGATGCAGAGTTTGAGTATAACAACGATTCTTTTCCATTAATTTCTTAACTTCTTAGTGAGATGTCTACCTCCTCCGCAGGCGCTTAGGGAGCATTTCGGGCAGGTTCGGAAAATGCGGGTCACAGGCTAGAGCGCCTGCCGAGTAATGTTTTCAAGATGGCGGGTGCTATAAATCGAAATTTTCATTTTGACTTTACTAATTACTATTATGACTTAATATACAACATACATACCAGCACTGATTTAATAGATCTAAATAATATTTAGAAATAGCATCCAGTGGTCTTGGTAGACTAAAAAGTACTTATAACTAGCCACCGCTTTTCGATGCCGATGGAGACTGTTTTATAAAGTGTTTATACAATGCAAATACAACAATAACAACATCAACAATATTACATGCATCTACATATTTTGCTACTAAGCCTATGATAAGCCATTTCAAATACTTTAGATATGATTCAAACATCAGTCTGCATGAAACAGTAAAAGCACAATTTGAAAGATGGATATGGTGAAAAACTGAAAATATATTTGCATTTAATATTATTAAAAATACATTCACAATGTATTAAAATAGAAGTAATATAGCGTCTCATTGTTCGCTTGTTCTTTGTCTTTTGAGTGATAATAACACAATGTCTGCATGTAGAACTCCATTACCACAAAAATCTACATACCAAGTCCATTTCAAAAGACGATATATTGAGAGTATCGACATCGCTGCCGTCGAACGACCAGCATAACTTATGTCAATATGTCATATGCCCAAAAATACATGTTTCATGTTTCAGCGGATCAAATTTCTTCAGAATGTAATTCGAAACAAATCAGAAGGCCCAGAAGATAAAAGACGTCATGTCGCAGATGGTGGGATGTGGATGAACAGCAGATCTTGGTGCACTTTAAACTTAAATAATATTTCTCTGTATTTTCTGCGTTCTCGTATAAATATGACGCCGGTCGTATATCGATTTCTTTCTTTATTTGCCGTATTTCCATTTGATATTTTTGTCAGCAAGTCCAGAATTAATCCAGCTTACGTGAGAAATTAATTTGAACTAATGATGGACGAAATTTCAAAGAGATTTTTTTTTGATTCCCGATTCCTCTGTATTTTCTGCATTCTCGTCCAAATATGACGCCGGTCGTATATCGATTTCTTTCTTTATTTGCCGTATTTCCATTTGATTTTTTGTCAGCAAGTCCAGAATTAACCCAGCTTACGTGATAAATTAATTTGAACTAATGATGGACGAAATTTCAAAGAGATTTTTTTGGATTCCCGATTTTCGACACATATTCCCGATTTTCGATACATTATATGGCAGGCCCTTCGCGCTTCGCTTCAAGTTCTAAAAGTGGCCCGCAAAAATTTGCACCGCCCACAAATGTGCCCGGAAAAAGGGCCTGCGGAGGAGGTAGGTGAGATGTGGAGGATCGACAGCTACTATTCTCATTCGTGACATTCATTAGAACAAACGATTTGTTACAAGATGCACCAGGAGACAAGAATATCAAAGCTGAAAGTCTGAAGCACACTTATGCCTAGCCAGAATAACCTGTTAAGCTGTAGTTATGTAAGGTTTTTTGTTATAAAAAGGCACACAGGTAATCAAACTTGAAAAAAGGACTTCTGAAAAAAAATTGGAGGACATGTGTCGCAAATTTATCTCATCACATACATCGGTGAAGCTAACAATCTGTGTGATTAAAATTCTTATAGTCCAATAATAATGTTCTTCCGCTCGCCAACTTTAGTCCTCCAGAATTTCTCAAATCCTATATATGCTGTGCGATTTAATGAAGATTCTAAGGCACCATTTTATGACTAGTGGGTGCATACATGCCCAGGTTGAACATCTTGGGAAGATCTCACAAGATCTTGTAAGATCTTGCCAAGATCTGATCTGGAGGTAATCTTGGCATGAACTTAGCAAGATTTTCTAATTTTCTTGCCAAGATTTTGGAACATTGTAAAAAGAATATAAGTAAGATCTTGCCAAGATTTCACTAAGATCTTGCCATGATTTTAACAAGATCTTGTTGCAATCTTGCCAAGATATTGCCATGATCTTTCAAGATCTTGCCAAGATTTCACTGAGATCTTGCCATAATTTTACCATGATATGCACTGCAAAAAATGAAATACTTGGCAAGACAAGATATTACGATGATTGGCATCAAACGAATGTTATTTGTGTCATTAAATGTTATTTCCAAATAAATGTACGATTTCCAAATTAACACAGGAAACTTTGTTCCCTTGTTAATTTTTTTTAGTTAATAAAAATAGCAAAATTTCGTCAAATTACCCTGCTGCAAGTCAGTCCAACACGTTTTTCGTGTGATGAATTTCACGCACCATAATGAAACAGGCGGCCGCTTATTTTAAGGGTATTATATTTACAATAACAGCATTAATTGTGCATTCAAGACTCACACAAGGCGCGCAAATTCTATTAGACGCATTACTGTGCGTGCACGATATCATCCAAGCGTGGGCAGACCCAGGCATTAATATGCATGAAAAATCAGAAATACTCTGCAGTTATTTTGTTAGCCAAACTAAGAAATACTGAGTCATAGAAAGAATTGGGGGTGCATGGGTGGGGGTGAGCAGTGGTACTTGGGATAACAAGGACACTTTCGATTAACATGGTCGGGCCAGTTAGACCCATAAACTTATGAAATGAAACACAAATTTATTGGACATCAGAACAGTCTAACAGTAAAATTTGGATCAAATCAAGACAAGCTCCATCTCAGCTATAGTTTCAAGAAACCTGGACCAGATCTTTCCATGGCTGGCCATTAACATACCTTCATGTACCACCTACCCTTACGAAAATTTCCTATAGGAACTCCTATAGGAAAAATTCCTATAAGAAAAATTCCTATGGGATCCCATTTTGTCCCAAATTCTTATAGGAATTTTTTCTACAGGAATTCCTATAGGAATTTTTCCTATAGGAATTCCTATAGAAAAAATTCCTATAGGAATTTTTTCTACAGGAATTCCTATAAGAATTTAATAGGAAGAATTCCTATAAGAATTCTCAAGTCTAGTCCCAAATTATTATAGGAATTTCCTATAAGAAAATAATTTATTCTAATTTCCTATAAGATTTTTGTTATTCCTGCAGAAATTCTAGAATCTAGATGAAATAATAGTAAATGACAGACAATGTTGTTCATCACTCTTAATTTTTTAATGCAAAAAATAGATATAAATATTAATAAATACTAATTAATATTGTAAATATAAAAATTAATATGAGAAATTGGTTATACTAAACATTACAAATCAATTATAGTTTTCACCTATTGTGCCAAATTAATCGTTCTACCTCAATGCAATGCCATATGATGCATCCTACTTTATTATTTTACTCTGTCTAAGACGTAAAAAAAAAATACCTGTGGTTCCTATTTTTTTCTGCCGACCCTATTATTTTTTTTGACCATGCGACCCTATTTTCTCCAGGTGGTTGCGGGCTGCTCAAACAGCGTGCCAAAATGGCGTCTGTTGTCACACTAATTATTGAACCAAATTGCCTAAATTTGTCCATAGGAAATACGCATCTCTAGTTAATATTGATGTCCAGATGCCAAAACCATGAAAAAAATTTTCAAAAAAATTATTTATTTCCGACCTACCAACCCTAATTTTTTCACGATATGAAACCGGAACCACAGGTATTTTTTTTTTACGCCTAACTATTTTACTTTAATGCCAGACTATTTTACTCTGTCTAACTCCAGACAATTGTACTTGAATGTCAAGGGGAAATGCTGGCTCCGAATGGGTTAACTAGCCTATATTTCTATATACTGTATGTGTCTAGTTAACCCATTGAATCACATTGTGCCCTGATGCGCCCTACTTTATTATTTTACTATAGTTTACTTTGTCTAACGCCAGACGATTTTACTCGTCAGAGCGCTGGCACTTAATGGGCTAAACCATAGGTAATAACCATAATTGACATTTAAAGTTAAGTTTAAAACTGGCCTCAAAACATAGTCCTCAAATAAGTTCTTGTTTGCTTTTCTGTACTTTGCAACACTTTCCCATGATGTTTATATTTGTCCTCATATGTTGACGAACCTCTGAGGCCTTACATCCATACTTTGTTGATAGCTGTAAAAAGACAAATACATTTATTTTATGTATACCATTCCAATGTGTTTTGTTAACCCATTAAATATGCCCAAATGCACCCAATTTATTATTTTACTCTAAGTGGAGAGTCTAGCACTTTAATAGAATAAACACAGTAAAATAAGAAACTACTAAAAGTAGGGCACATTGCTTCTAAATATGCCACACAGCAGCTTTTGCAGTTAATTATTAACCTTTCAATGACCAACATTCATTTTGATTAGTAAAATCATCTGATAAATATCAAAGTACTGAAAGTGGGGATTGAGTGTTAGGGTGAATTGCATCTAAATGTGCTAATGCCAAATAATGCAAAATAGTCTGGTATTAACAGGGCAAAATATTGAGCTTTGAAATAGAGCACATTAGTGTGAATTTGTGAATTGGGTCTTAATGAGTTTACACAAACACAGGGAGACAGAAAGGTAACCTATCAAAGTTGTCCACTCTCTTTCAAGTAAAATGATCTGGTATTAGACAAGGTAAAATAAAAAAGTTCTGAAAGTTTAGCACATTCATCTTAACAAGTTAGCATGAAATGTAAGCTAGCAGAGAGTCTGGTTAATTTGAATACCATCACATAGTTATGTTTAATTAATAGAAAAACATTGGATAATTTTCCTGGCATTACACTAAAGCATGTCTAAAGGCTAACAGATTTTAATACATTGACTGGTGCAAGACCTCTCAAAATGAAAATTGTTTAATTTAAACAAAACATATGAATAAATACTGCTGCTGATTTGAGGAAGTAGTTAAATTTTCTATAGGCATGCATTAAATATGGCTGACAATTTACAATTAATCTGGCATATACAGTTGGCACTTGGGATATACAAATATATTAATAAACATGGATAAGTCTGATTCAAATATAAAACTTTTATAGTAGCATTTGTTGAAGTATAAACGCTATAAATATATTTATATCAGCATTCTAATTCCGTTTATATTGTCGTGGCAAATTCAAATTTTATCGAACCACATGCTCGAATTTCACCAAAGAAGATTGGAGGTATTTCCTTTATAATTTGCTTTATTATACTTGCAAGTGATGAACCAGGCGGGAACTAACATTATGCAAACATCCCTGATGTATTACTAGTGAAAATCCAGTTGAATCCCATCAAAAATAGTTCTATTTTGCACATAAACCATTGACAAAATACACTGACTTGAAAAAATATCGGAGGTGTGATGATCTATCCCTTGATGCTTTGCGCGCGTGGCAAGAAAACTAGACACCAGTCTGTCAGTCGCGCACATTGCGGTAATTAATTAATTATTCATTTAATCTTAGAAAATAAATAGTCCCAGTATTAAATTCTCTATTAATAAATGTCTATGAGTAAAATACGATATAGGAATAGTGTAGTTGTATAAGAAATTAAAATTCCTATAAGAATTCTTATAGGATATGATAATGGTGAAAAAATTCCATAAGAAATAGAAATTCCTGTTGGAAGGAGTTATTTCGTAAATTATATTTATCTGTATAATTTTATATATAAGTAAAGTTCTTATACCCATGCATGTATCAGGCCATAGTGGTATAGGCTATGAATTTTTCCCACCATTTTCCAATCCTATAAGAATTCCTATAGGAATTTTTATTTCCTATAGGATTTTTTTTCACCATTTTAAAATCCTATAGGAATTTTCATTTCCTATAGGAATTCCTATAGCCATTTTCCAATCCTATAGGAATTCCTATAGGAATATTTTTTCATATAGGAATATTTTCACTATTTTCAATTCCTATAGGAATTCCTATAGGAATTTTCAATGCCAATAGGAATTCCTATAGGAATTTTCAATGCCAATAGGAATTCCTATAGGAAATTTCAATTTTAAAAAGAACAAAACAATAGACACTCCGAATATAGTTAACATTTTATTCAACGTTTCGACTAGGTTTCAGTCATCATCAGGAATGACGCTATTGAAAAATACTGAGATATATATTTACAAGTTAAGCGGATCAAATTACGCGCTAATTAAATATCACAAGTTCCTTAGAGGCTCTAGTTCCGTGATTAAGGCAGCGGTCAGTTTCATTAAGGCAGCGGTCATTCTGAGGCAGCGGTCAGTTTTTCCGATGTACGATAATTGACAACCAGGACAGCTAAATTTGTATACAACACTACTTTGGAGCTCTCACGCGACCCAAAGAATCAGACATCATTGCCGCAGCCGAGTCAATTTGGGATCAACTAAAACGTAACAGCTTGATTCCTGATAGCTTCATCAAGCAGCAAAAGATTAAGAACTCCATCAAGGCCTTAGCTTGCAACTTCTTAGACTTTGACGATAGACGACTTACTGAAGACAGCAAACACATTAAGATCCTGAAAGACTTACGTAAACGATACGCTATTCTTAAACCAGATAAAGGTAACGGTGTTGTACTTATAAAACTATCAGACTACTATAACAGTATGACTTCCATATTTTCCGACCCAACCAAGTTTCAAAAACTCGACAACGACCCTTCTTTAACCCAACTCTCTTCTCTACAAGAATATTTACGCACAATACATAAACGCAACGAAATTGACGATGTAACATACCGAAATATTCGACCACAATCTACGAGACCTGCTCGCGCACATGGTCTTCCTAAGACACACAAACCTTTTGACTATCTACCATCTTTTCGCCCTATTATTGACACAACCGGTACTGCCTACCAACCTCTAGCCAAGTATCTCTCTTCTCTTCTCAACCCACTTACACACAACGAATTCAAACTTAAAGACAGTTTTGACGCTGTTTCACGCATTCTCAACATACCCACACACCTTTTTTCTCAAGGCTACAGACTAGTATCCTTTGACGTTTCTTCTCTTTTCACCAACATCCCTCTACGCAAAACTGTGAACATAATCTTAGACAGAATTTACAAAGACAAACGAATTACGACATCACTTAACAAACGAACACTCAAGAAATTACTTTTAGACTCATGCACCAAAACACCTTTCTCTTTGAATGACCAACTTTACAGACAAATTGACGGCGTGTCTATGGGTTCGCCTTTAGGTCCTACTCTCGCTGATATTTTAATGACTGCCTTTGAGGACGAAATAGTCCGACCTCTTCTCTCTTCCAACGTAATTAAATTCTACTCACGCTATGTTGACGACACATTAGTACTGATTAAACCTTGTGACATACCTAACGTACTAAAGAAATTTAATTCCTTTCACCCACTCATTAAATTCACACACAAAGAATTCACTGACAACAATGATGTTCACTTTCTGGATATCAAAATAACCTCAACTGGCACAACAATATACCGCAAATCCACACACACAGGCCAATATATCCATCTCTCGAGCTTTACTCCTTGGTGCAGAAAAACAGCTTGGCTGAGAGCTTTAGTCCACCGCGCACACAAGATCTGTAGCAACATCGACCTCCTAAAGAACGAACTACAAAGGATTGCTGAGTTTGCATCTTGGAATGGCTACCCTCATCACATGACCAACAAACTGATCAACGCATTTTCACCACCACCTCTGAACCACGACATTGCTCCTGCCAACAACAACACTGAAAACGAGAATACGCATCCAAAACCGCCCACAATCTGGATTCACCTTCCGTTCATTGGCAAGAGAGGAACTTCCCTTATACGCTCGTGCACCAACAAAATTTCCCGACTATTGATAGCCCGTCCCAAATTTATCACGATCTATGACACGACGAACAGCAACACCTATCTTAGCCTAAAAGACCGAACGGATAAAGAGCTCCAAAGTAGTGTTGTATACAAATTTAGCTGTCCTGGTTGTCAATTATCGTACATCGGAAAAACTGACCGCTGCCTCAGAACAA